CCTCCCTTGACCTTCAAGGATTAAGAGAGCATCCCCCATCCCCGGGCCAGGTTTGAAGGGGACTGGGATTCCCCCAGCCTTTCAAAGGACTCAACGGGAGAATGAAGAAGTCAGGACACTGCCCTTCTCTTGCTAATGCAGACCTTTTGTCCAAAATAGGACAATCACTTACCCAGGGTCATACCGAAAACCGGGGACAGGTTGGAGATGGAAACTGAGGGCCTTACGCTCTATGCTGGGCTCTGCCCGAGACCCAGCCCTGATGATTCTGTCATGCTGCTGGAGGCTGGGGTCCCTCAGTCTTCTCCCCGCCTCCCCTTACTTGAATCTACACCTTCTCTCTGGCTGGAACCTGCAGGCTCAGCCCTGGTCCTTAAGGCTGCAGCCCTGCCCGCTAAAAGGTCCCCCAAAGACCTCCACTCATTTACTCGTTCACGGGGTCATCCGACAAGAGCTCCAATGTGCCCTCCCTCCATGGGCGCTCTTGGAGTTCTCAGTGTGGTCCACCATTTTGTGGTGGGGCTGTGACGGAGGGGCTGAGGGCTCCAAAGAAAAGGCAGGCAGAAGAAGGGGACAATTATCTGGATCTTGAGGTTGTTCAGTTAGAAGCTTTCAGGTAGCAAAGGGGGAAGGGCTATTTCAGGCATGAAGGAACAGCATGTGGAAAGACAACAGGGCACGTTGAATTGTACCTTAAAAATGGTTACTTTAGGGGAGACTGGGTGGTGCAGTCGGTTAAGCGTCCGACTCTTGATTTGGGCTCAGGTTGTGATCTCAGGGTCGTGGCATCGAGCACTGTGTCGGGCTCCGGGGTCAGCACAGAGTCTGTTTATTTCTCTCCCTCTGCTCCCCGCCTCCGGCATTGTGCAGGCATGTGTGAGCACACACGCTCTTTCTCTCCAACACATAAATCTTCAAAATAATGGTTGCTTTCATGTTTGTGAATTCCACCTCAATGAAATATAAATGCATACAATTTGCAAGAAGGCGGTGTGCGTGCAGGGGTGCAATACTGTGAGGCTTGGGGGCAGGGGATGGTGGGGCAGCCGCAGGAGGGACACAGGGTGGAGGGGCCCTGCCGGGCCATAAAGGACCTAACTTTGCATCTCAAGGTCCAGCCCCTCTGCAGAACAGCTGAGAGCCTGAGCCAGGAAGGGGGACCGATAAGGGCAGGAGAAGAAGGATATAAGGACTTGGAGTCGCCCAGACCGTGGTTTGAATCCAACTCGGCCTCCAACACACTGATCTTGCCAAGCCATTCACTTCTCTGAACCTCAGCCGCCCCGTCTTTCATGGGGGGGGGGCGGGGGGCATGGAGCACGGCTCCTGTGGAGTTGCTGTGAGAGACCCTCAATGCAGGTGCCCCAGAGCTCCGTGGGATGTTGGGAAAGGGAGGGTGGGAGACTCCTCGCTGCTGTGGATTGTGGCCAGCTGCCCTCTCTGTCCCCTGAGACGGGAGGCAGGCCGGGGAAGGAGCCCCTGGCCCAAGTCACCGGGATGGGCCTGGGGCTATAAGCGGGACACCTGCCACCCACCCAACCCCCGGCATCCAGGCCATAGCAGTTTCCTCTTCCCCAGGCACCCCTTTGCCCACTGACATGAGCCTTGTGTGGATGGTGGGGAGGGGACACCGGAGAGGTGAAATGTCCTGGGCCGGCTGTGTAAATGTAGGCGGTGCTGGTGCTGCTGCTCTCTGGGGAGGGGCTGCGGGAAGGGGGCTGGGACAGGGGGCGGGCCCACCCATCCCTTGAGGGCTTAGAGTCCACATTCTCTAAAAACTGTTAACCCAGGCTTGCGTTCCAGTAACAGGAACTTGGGTGCGGGACAGAGATGGTGACAGGTGGGGGCGCGGCCCCTAGTCTGCAGGGAGGAGCTCCACGTGGATGGGGCTCCACCTCTGAGGGTGGGACCAGGTGGACAGGGTGGGCTACCTAAATGAGACCCAGCTCCCTCAGTCATGAGTGAGCTCCCTGTCTCGAGAGAAAAGCAAGCAGAGCTGGATACCCCGCCTACAACCAGCTTCTAGGGAGGAGGGTGAGGAAATTGTCCCGGGAGGAAGATGGTGAGGGGTTGGGGAGAGGAGTTCAGAGAAGACTTCACAGAGATGGGCTTTGAAGGTTGAATAGGAGTTCTCTGGATGGACAGGAAAGAGATGATGTGCTGGATAGAAGGAAGAGCATGAAAAGGCACGAGTATTGCAAGAAGTGCTTTTAATAACAAGAAGAGTTAAAATACATCGAGCTTCAGTCTGCTCTAAGTATCTGACCTACATTATCACATCTAATCCTGACCACAACTCCCCAGGTGTAACCAGGAAACAGGCTCTGAGAGGTTGAGTAGCTTTCTCCAAGTCACACAGGATCACATTGCAGGCAGTCTGACTTCCAGCTGGAGGAGTGAGAGGTAGGAGGGGGGCTGCAGAGCTTAGCAGGGGCCTGGATGGAAAGGTGGGGAGCTAGATAGGAAAGAGAGGAAGGCTACACGTCCCGGGTCAGGGGCCCCATGCGAGAGCATGTCCCATGTGGAGGAGCTGCTCCTGTCCCCAGGGGAGGAACTGCTCCTGTCCCCAGGAGGGTGTGAGGGCTCTGGCTCTGGTGGCCTGGCCCCGACCCGGCGGCCAAGGCCACCATCTCTCAGCAGTGCCTTGCAGCCTGTCCCTCTGGCCACCCGGCCCTACCCCTTCCTCCTGTGGCAGCTCTGCAGGGGCCCAAGGATTTCAAGCTAATTTCTGCAGGATGGGAGTGGAGACCTGGGACGGTTGAAGGCAGCAGGGGGTGCCGGACCGGGGTGAGGCAGGCAGCCAGGGAGGAGCTTGGGGCTCCTGCAGAAGCAGTAATCCCAACAGTCCCTGAGCCCCAGGAACAGCTGAGGCGGGCGGGGGGGGGAGCACAGACACCCGACTAGGTCTGAGTCAGCCCCCAGCCCCCGTGGCAGGCACTGGGCACCTTCCTCGTCCCCTCCCCAGGCTTAAAGCTTCCCTGAGAGGACTGTGAGAACGCAGGAGATGATGGAGCCCTAGTAGAGGCAGGTGGGAGTGGGGAGTGTCCAGGAGGATGTTCAGGGAAGGGCAGGAAATGGGCAAATCTGGATGTCAGTCCTGGCTGAGGGTCTGCCCTCCATAACCCCCCACCACCCCCCACCCCACCCTCCCAGAGCAGATCCCTGCTGCACAGTGTCCACCCTGACTGTCCAGACCTGTAGGGTTTGCAGGGCACCCAGCCCCCTGCCACCCCCTTCCCCAAACTGGTGATAAGGGTTCCAGCTGGGCCCTGAGCAGGCCTCAAGATGCCCTTTCCCCTGCAGTCCTTCCTAAGCTTACCAGACCTGGGAGAGCTAGGCCTGGCCATCCTCCCACCCAATCCCGGGCCTCCCATTCCATATCACTTGATTAGTGGGCTGGGCAGGGTGCAGAGGGAGAGACAGAAGGAGAAGTAGGCTCCCCGCTGAGCAGGGAGCCCGATGTAGGGCTCAATCCCAGGACCCTAGGATCATGACCTGGGCCGAAGGCAGATGGTCAATGACTGAGCCACCCAGGTGCCCCTGACACAGGCGGCTTATAAACTACTGGAAGCCCTGGTTATTTGATAATCACAAGCATTTTGTTGACAACCGACTTTTGTGTGATACTGAGCCTCAAAAGCCACAAGGAGGAAAGAGTGGTAGAATCCATGGGAGAGAGCATTTGAACTGGAAAGAAGGTATGAGGGGTGGGGGAAGGGATATGACCAAGTCCCTGGAAAGGCAGACAACTCTCACCCCAGCTCTGAGCTCTGTGTGTGGTCGCATTGGGGCCCGCACCCATCTGCCCTCTGCAACCTCAGCATCTCCCATCACACGTGGGAACCCTGGGTGCCCACAGCCCCCTCCCCCAATCCATTATCTCTGCTCACCTTTCCCGGAGTGGTTGGTGGGTCTGGGCTGACTTTGAACTCCTCCTTCCCTCTCCTGCACAGGTGTCTGAAGGGAGCCCCCTGGCCTGCTTCCAAGTTAGCAACTGGCTGCTGCAGGGACATCATGACCTGGGGTCCCTGCTGGGGGCCTGAGCTCCTGGAAATCTATACACCTGTGCCTCCCTTCCTTTCCTGGATCAGAGCTAAGGTCTCTAATGCCATTTTTGGACACCATGGCCAAGAACTGGCCCGGGACCAGACAGAGGAGGCATTGAGGCTCTTTAGTCTGTGATGTCTTGGCAGTGAACCCTGATTCAGGTACTTCCCTGCTGCTGTGACTGTAGCCCAGCCACCTCCCCTCTGTGATTCTCCTTCATTCATTCATCTAACACTGTTACCAGGGCTTCCGATGTGCCCCGAAACCAGAACACAAGATCAGCGTGGCCCCTGGGCTCCTGGAAGACGGCTGGATGGCCGGGATGCCAGGTGCTAAGCCCTCCGTGGGCCTCAGTTTCCCCCCCTTCACACGGAGGAGCTGTGGCTTGGACTAAAGATTTTTTTGAGGTCCCCCTCAAGTTTGTTTAATAAACTTTGCGGGAGCAGGGGTCCTCAAAATCCCCAAGGGAGCATCCCTCTGACCTGCGCACGCAGCTGCTGGGCCCCAGCTGGGGACTCTCCAGAACCCGGGCGGCCCCGCCCCTGGTGGGCCTCGCGGGCCTCGCGCGTTACTTCCGACTCGCGGTGGTAGTGGTGCACCTGCGCCCCTCAGTCTCCCCCTCCGCAGTCCTCCCGGTAGCGCCACAGCGCCATCTCGTTGCGGAAGGCATCTGTATCACTTGGTTTCCGACCGGCCTGAGTCAGGGAGCGCCTCTGCGCTTCGGGGCTGGCGGGGCCGAAGCCGAGTGGACACACACTCCCTGGGAGTGTAGTCTGATCCCGCGGCGTGGCTAGGTTCCACGCAATAGGCCCACGCTCTAACCTAGCTCTCGTGGACTGCCCCAGCTTCCCCGGAGAAGGGTGGGGCTGCGGAGCCCCGCCCCCCGGGGTCCCGCCCCCACACCAGCTGCCGCTGGCTGCGCCTGCGCACTACGGCATACACGCTTGCCTTAGCGAAGGTCCCATCCCAAGAAACGTGTCCCACGCGCCACGCCGTCGGTTTCCAGGGCAACCCGGAGCCTCTCCGCAATCCCGCGCGCAACTTGGGTTGGTTCCTGGCGCCCCCAGCCTGGCCATGACGGCCGCGGGTCCCAGCGTCTTCCTACTCATGGTCAACGGGCAGGTGGAGAGCGCCCAGGTGAGTGGCCGTGGACCTCGCCCGCCCTACCCCACTCTCCCCGGAGGCCCATCCCGTGACCTCCAGGGTTGCTTCGTGGCCTCGGAGAGGTGCGTCGTTCCTCCGAGCCTCTGTCTCCCACGGTTAGGCGGGGGAGGGGAACCAGCGTTTGAGAGGCTTGCCTGCGAATCCTCAGCCCCGATGTGTGCGGGTGGAAGCCGACCTCGAGAGGTTGAGCTTGTGCTGAGGACACGCTCGGCCAAGACTTTGAGACCGCGTTCGGATCGTGTCCAGCTCGTTGAGTCACGGACAGGAACCTAACGCGGGTGTAAGGCGGGGAGCCGAGACTCGACCGGGACGCTGGGCCTCCGTCCTCGAATGCTCTGCACTCTGAACTCTCAGATCCTTGAATTTGGGTCAGAACGGAGGTGATCTGTTGGAATCTGATCCAACGATGGGGGTGGTGGAAAGATCCGGGGAGAGTCTGGTCAGTCTGACAGAAGGGGATGCTACTACACTTTGTAAGCACCATTGGTCATAGATAGATAAGTTCACCATGAATTCGCCCTGAGCCAAACTTGGTGCCCAGCACTGCTCATTCAGTCCTCGCAACAACCCTGTGAAGTGGATATTATTAGCGTCCCCATTTTACAGATGGGAACACTTGCCCAAACAGAGCGGCAAAGCTGGGATTTGAACCCAGGTCTGCCTGCCGCCAAAACTTTGATGCATTACCCTTTCAGACTGTTAGAAGACGGTGTTTATTGTATTATTGTGAGGATTAAGTGAGATGGTTTGGGTAAAGTTCTGGGTCTCTGGTGCCTCCCTGTTTCATTGGGCTCATGTCTCCGTGCTCCCACCCTATCCACCTGCCCCTTGGCCTAGTGTCCATGACTACCTTCCCCTCATCTCTTCTGTCCCATTAGGGGCTCTTGGCTGGGCTGGATCACGTCTGTGCACTGTCAGCACCCATGCCTGCCTCCCGGGGCCTCCCAGTCAGTTCTGGTCCCTCCCTCTCTCCAGGCCTTGAGCTCCAGTCCCTTGTAGTCTTTGTGTCCCAACAGCATCCTTTCACTTTGGCACCATTCCCTCAGACCTCCTCTGGGCCGACCCTTGTGCCAGGCACTGGGGACACAAAAACATCATCACACTTGTTCCCTGTTCACAGTCAAATGGGGTTGACAGAAATAAACAAGCCATCAGAGCTTTGATAGAGGGAAGGACCAGAGGCTGACAGAGCCAGGACAGGGGTGGGGGGCAGAGGGGAGCTTAAAACAGCCTGGAAGTGAGGATGGGCTCCCTGGAAGGTAAGTTTTGAAGGATGAACCGGAGTTTGCCAGATGGAGTAATGGGAAGGGCATGCCAGACAGAAGCCAGAGCTCAGGCAAAGGCTCAATGGCATTAGCAGCCTGGGACTGTCCCTTGGACTCCCACATCTCGGGCCCCAGCCCCTATGCTGCACCCTGTGTCCTCAGCCCTGGCCGTTTCTTAGACCCACTCCAGGTGCCTGGTGCTCAGAATTCCTATTGGCTGCCCTTACGTGGTCAACATGTTGACCTCAACACAAGTCTCCATAATCACAAGCTGTGTGTGCTTCTTCCCGCAGTTTCCGGAGTATGATGATCTCTACTGCAAGTACTGCTTTGTGTATGGCCAGGACTGGGCCCCCACGGCGGTAAGCTGGGCCCTCGGGTGTCCCTTATGCACAGGCTCCATGACTGATGGGGTTTCTGAAGGTGTCCACCTTTCCCCTTCCATTCCCAGTTCAGAACCCATGGAGAGGTAGACACTGAGTTCAGGGGGTTCTAAGCATGACTTTGTTCATGGTAAAGCTGGAGCAGGGAATGCAGCCATCGGCGGGCTCCCGGATCAAAGCTGCGATCACTCACATGCCCCGTCCCGGGAGCTTGCACGTGGCCTCGAAGAGGAACGTGTGGGCAGCCCGTAGAGCCTCCAGCCCTCTCCTAGCCCGTGGGGAGGACTCTGGGGAGCCCGAAGGCAGAATAGAAGCTCTCCTTGCAAGACTTGCCTCAGAGCAGTCTGTCTCCCCCAGACAGCCAGACGAGAGTCCCAGTCTTTGTGGAGCACACAACCTTGTGTGGCGAGACAGACAATAAATACCAGTGTTCTAGTATGTTCTAGCATACTAGCAAGGGCCAGAGAGGGAGACCCTGGACAGTTGCCAGAAACAGAGGAGCGAAGACAGCACGTAGATGAGGCGCGGAACCACGGGTGTGGCAGGCGCTCGAATTTCCAGTATATTGTGAAGGTGGGGGCAACAGGGTTTCCTCTTGGGCAGATGTGGGGCATGGGAGAAAAGGAGTTAAGAATAACACGAAGCTTCTTAGCCCGGGCACTTGGGAGCAGAGCTGCCATTCGATGAGAAGACTGGGTAGCCAGATCTGGGAGAACTTTCCAGAGCTCTGCCCGGCATGTTTGGAGGTTGAGGTTCCCGGTAGACATCAGCCGGGGTGCAGGGTCAGCAGTGGAGGCTGGGCCATGGTGCTCTGGAGGTCAGAGGTGAGGACCGGGCTGCGGGTTGGGGAGTCCCTCTCCTCCACATGAAGAGGAAGTGGTGAGGGCAACACTGGGCCCCACCACCTTGAGGAGGAAAGACCCAAAGACTATGGTGTCCCAGAAGCCACGCAGGCGGAGTGTGTCCAGTGCTGCTGCTGGGTCAGGTAAACTGAGGACAGAGAAATATGTGCAGATACAGCAACCCTGGGGTCCCTGGTGCTCCCCGCCAAAAGCTCTTCGGTAGCACGGGCACCTGTGGTCAGACAGAAGTGGGTTCTCGAGAGGGAAGCGAGAAAGAATGGGGGCCGGCGAGTGTGGACAGCTCATTTGAGGAGTTGTGCTCCGCAGGGGAGCTACGAATAGGTTGGTGGGTGGAGGAAGACATAAGGCCAGCCTCGTTTCCTGATAGAGAAGCTCGCCCACATGTGTGTACCGACGTACGTGACCGTGACCGAAGAGAGACATGACCCACGGCCACTTCCTCTGGCGAGGGGGCGAGAACCCGGGCCTGGGCCGGGTGTTGACGAAGCCAGATCCGACGAAGCGAAACCCAGAGAGACTCAGGAGCTGCCCTGGCGCCCCAGAGTTCCAGGCATGGGAAGTTAGTGTGATGGCAGAAGGTAGTGAGGAAAACAGCCCTCCCACCTGCCCACCCAGGTCGAGGGAGCGGTGTGGCAGCCGGAGCATGGGCACCAGCTGTCGCCATCCCTGTCCCAGGGTCTGGAGGAGGGCATCTCACAGATCACGTCCAAGAGCCAGGATGTGCGGCGAGCGCTGGTGTGGAACTTCCCAATCGACGTCACCTTCAAGAGCACGAACCCCTACGGCTGTGAGTCTGCAGGGGCCTTGCAGGGACACCCGGGTGGGGGGGGGGGAGGTGCCCCTAGGGCCATCCGCTCCCAGCTCCTCTCCGCCCGTCCCCTGGGCCCTTGCGACAGCCCCGTCCTCTGCTCTCTTGCCACCTGGCCGATTCCCTCCACCTCCCCCCACCACCCCTACCCCCGTTCGTGGACAGGTGACAGAGCTGACCTTTAGGAAGCTCAGAGAGTATCAGTGCGGCCCCAGCCTGTGGCCATTGTGGCTCAGGTGGGCTCGGCCTATGCGGTGGACAGATCACTCCCTGTTTCTTTTCTCACGTTAGGAAACCGAGGCCCAAAAGTAACATCATTCCTTTGGCTTTACATCTAGCAGCTGAGCATGGATTGGATTTCAGGCCCATCTGATTTCACAGTCTGAGCCTCTCTGCTGCATGTGGCTTAGGGCCTAGGCTTGCTGGGTACGGGGTTTCCAAAGCAGGGGCTGCCTGGCGGTCCTCCTTGTCATTATCCACGAGTAAGAACGCTTCCATAGGCTTCCTTGACAGGGCACTGGATGGTGGGCCATCTCCTGCTGCTGAGGAAGGCTCGCAGAGGCAAATACAGTAGTAAAAAGCAAAAACAAAACACAACTATTCCAAGGTTTCAGAGAGCTAGCAAAGTATTAGAGATTTACCAGGCCATGATCCTGGAGAATATAGAAATCTAGAGACGTGATCCCACTCACATCGCCCCGAGAGTATTTGCTGATTCCCCCAGAGGTGACTTAGAGGCTGACGGAGGCTTTTGACAGCTGCTCTGGGCTCGGGGTGCAAAAATCAGGAAAATCCCTGCAACTTGGACAGAGACCTCAGAGCGCTCGGTGGAGCCTGGGAGCTGCGGCCCAGCCCCAGATCGTTCCCGACCTTGAACATGGTTACAGAAACTCTCAAAATATTCATAAGCCTAATCTAGCAGGATGTAAAAGGGATAACATATGAACAAGTATGGTTTATTCCAGAAATATAAAGCTTATATAATATCCGAAATCAACCAGCGTGATTCACTGCTTTAAAAAGAAGGAAAGTCACGATCATCCCTATAAATGTAGAAATGATGATAAAATTCAGCATCCATTCATGATAAACTTTGACAAACTAGGAATAGAAGGAAGCTTGCTTTTTTTTTTTTAAAGTCGTGGAGCCCACTGTGGGGTCTGAACTCATGACCTGAGCTGAGATCAAGAGTTGGACCCCCATGGGTGCCTGGGTGGCTCAGTCAGTTAAGCATCTGCCTTCAGCTCACGTCATGATCCCGGGGTCCTGGGATCAAGTCTAGCATCAGGCTCCCTGCTCAGTGTGGAGTCTGGTTCTCCCTCTACCACCCCCGCCCCGCTCATGATCTCTTTCTCTCCATCAAATAAATAAAATCTTAAAAAAAGTTGGGGGGCGCTTGGGTGACTCAGTGGGTTAAAGCTTCTGCCTCTGGCTCAGGTCATGATCTCAGGGTCCTGGGATCGAGCCCCGCATCGGGCTCTCTGCTCAGCGGGGAGCCTGCTTCCACCTCTCTCTCTCTCTCTCTCTGCCTGCTTCTCTGCCTACCTGTGATCTCTGTCTGTCAAATAAATAAATAAAATCTTATAAGAAAAAAAGTTGGACCCCCAACCAAGTGAGCCACCAGGGGCTCCTGGAAGGAAACTTTCTTAATTTGATAAAGGCTATCTACAAAAAACTTAGAGCAAACATTAGCTTTTTTCTAAGTGAAATGGTGAACGATTTCCTTGTTGCTACCACCACAAACAAAAGGCATAAGAATTAGAAAGAATAAAGCTGTCATTTTTCACAGGTGACATTATGTGTGTAGAATTTGCAAAATAACCCACAGATAAGTTACCGGAAATAATAAGTTGGTGTGAATGCCGGATAGGAAATAAACAGGCAAAATCCAGTGGCTTTTTGTATGAAAATAAATAGACTATGTCTTCTCTTGTGCACACATGTGATTCAAAAATGATATATCAAAAAGAAATTCTTTACTATAATATCAAAATATAACAGAGCTGCAAAGACAGGCTACGGAATTCACACACATACACACAGCACGTCAATGAGGAAAAGACTGGTAGAAATACAGGCAAGAGGCCGAGCAGGTCCTTCACGGAGGAGGGCATCGGAGTGACCGAGAAACAGAGCAAGGGCTTTACTTCAATGAGAAAGATTGCGGTGAAGGCAAAGGCAAGCTGTGGTGAGCTGCCACCCGTGCCCACGCCTGAATAACTCCAATCAGGGAAACTGAGGAACCCCGCTTTGTGAGGACGTGGTGTGACGGGAACTCCAGGGCCTGGCGGGGGTGTGGGGGTGTCTGGGACGGCGTGCGCAGCAGAGCCGTGTGCGTGCATGGGGCAAGGGCTTGAACGAGAGCTCACAGCCTCACCACCTGGGAGCTCCCCAAGGAGAAACTGCCCACATGCCCATCGGCACCGGAGCAAACCCTGTCCTCCTGGTCTGTCCAGAGCCAGAATGTTCTCTAGCATTGAGAACGAGCGACATCCCCTACATGACACAGTCTGAACGGATCTCACAGACACGACGTTGAATTAAAGAAGCTGGGTACCAATACACAGACTCTACGATCCCATTTGTATAAGGTTTTATTTATTCATTTAAGTGGGTAAAACCAGGGCACTGGGGTGGCTCAGTGGGTTAAGTATCTGACTCTTGGTTTTGGCTCAGCTTGGAGTCCACTTGGGATTCTCTCCTTCTGCCCCTTCCCGTGCTCGCTCACTCGCTTGCTCTCTCGCTCTCAAAATTAAAGCCCTTTAAAAAGTGGGTAAAACCGAAGTACCATGTTTGGGATGCCTTCTTTGGCAGGAAAGGCTTACAAGGAGCGCTTTCTTCAAGTCAGAATAGGGGCTCCCTCTGGGGGAGGGGGAGTGATGGGAAAGGCCCTGAACCCGTGTCTTAGGCTCACCGAGCACCTAACGCAGGGCACGGAGGTCGCCTAGAGGTGAGGGACCCGAGAGGCTGGGAGGTGAGTTGTCCGATGGCCTGAGGCCCGTCCTACAGGCCGCAGGTCCTGGCAGCCCGGCTTCCTAGGCCTCCCTGCCTCACCCCAGGCAGCGACTTCTCCCCTGCCTTCAGAGGACAAATAGACTGACCCCGGAGAAAGGACCTAATGTACCTCCTTGTTTACAGGGAACCGGTGGGATCGGCGATCACTTAAAGAAAAATGTGAGGAAGGTCTTTCTTTCCCTCTGACCTCCCCCGTGGCACCCCAAAGCCAGGCCCTGCGGGCTGCAAACCTGGGAAGCCCACACTTGAATCTGACCACCTGTATTGGAAAGGAGGCTCCCAAGAAGCGGCCCCTTTGCTCACTTCCCGGCTGGGTCCCTGTGCCTTGAGCAGAGGAGAAGAGTGCCTTCGGGGGTCCTCCCTGTATTGTCAAGGCACAGGATCTGCTGGGCATCTGGGCCTCGCCAGGGACCTCGCCTACTTGTCGCGCTCCCCACTGCTGTCCCTGCCTGCCTCCCCGGATTCTGGGTCGGTGAAGCCCTTAGTGGAGAAGGGGGAGGGGTCCGGTGTCCACTCCTGTTCTCTGCCCTACACCTTCCGCCTGCTGACCCCTTGTCTTGTTCTTCCCAAGGGCCGCAGATCGTGCTCAGTGTATACGGACCAGACGTGTTTGGGAACGATGTAGTCCGAGGCTACGGGGCAGTGCACGTGCCTTTCTCACCCGGCAGGTGGGTTCTGGCTCTGACCAGGTCCCTGGGCCACAGTCCGTCCCTTGCTGGGCCATGCTGGTTTAGGACCAGGGCACCCCAAGCAGGGCTTTTCCTGGGACAGACTTTGCCGCTAGGCTGAAAGTGTGCTGGCGTCCCCTGGGGCCTGGGCAGCTGGAGCTGCCAGAGGAGTAGAGACACGGAGAGACGTGCAGTGACAGCTCTAGACAGGATTCTGGGATGCAGATGACAGGAGTTCGCCTAGAGTAGAATAGCCAAACGTCTTGAGTATTGTTGCTGGGACAGAAGGTGCAGGATGTGGGGGGAGGCATATGGAGAGGAGGGAGGGCTGGGCAGTGAGGGCCAGGACCCCAGGCTCGGCGGGGAGGACTAGGACTAGGGCAGGGGGCAGCAGCGGGGGGAAGGCGCAGGGAATCGCGGGGGGCTTCCTGGAGGAAGGGCATCCAAACCGGGCCTTGGAGATGGTAGAGGATTTGGAGATGTGGGGGACAGGGCTTCTGAGGGGCCCAGTGGGAGCTGGGCCCCCAGGAGTGATGGGTCTACCCCAGCACCATCCCGAGCCTTGACAAGATGCCAGGCCCACAGGGACCCTGGGCCGTTTCCGGCACCTCCTGCTTACCAGATGCTCGGAAAGTCCCACCACTTTTCTGTTACTCAGCACATCTGTTTGTGAAAACATCTGTTTCAGGCACAAAAGGACCATCCCCATGTTTGTCCCCGAATCCACGTCTAAACTGCAGAAGTTTACGAGGTGAGTTTCGACATCCTCCTGCCAGCACCTGCTTCTGACCTAGGGAGTCAGAGTGGAGGGAGGGAGGGTGTCCCTGTCCTCCCTCACTTGCACTGGGTAACCTCGTCGGGTCTCCCAGCTACTTCGTCTTTGGGGCCCCGGGAAGTGGGGGCCGTGGGCTCCCGTCAGCCGCTGGTCCAGCCGCATGAGGCCGGACACCTTTATACTCTGTGCCCCGTTACTATTCTTTGCGCCAGGGCAGAGCAAAAGCTCTCGACAGATGGGGAGATGCTCACGAAGTAATAGGACATTAAAACATGAAAAAGGACACAGGAGGATACAGTGGTGTGGGAGGCCTCCTGGAGGAGGTGACATCCGAACAGAAAGTAGAGCGGAGATAAGGGCCAGTGTGGCTGATCTGGGGAAGGAACATTCCAGGTGTAGGAAACAGAGCAAGGTCCATTGGCTTAGTGTGCTCGGAGCAGCATGGATGTGGAGTCGCTGGTAGGTGGTGAGCAAGGGGAGTGTGGGGGAGACACCAGGGAAGCAGGGAGCCTCTTTCCTCTTACCACATCCACGTCTAGGCTTAGAGGGCCGCTGACTGCCTCGAGGTTGGCGACAGACGCTCTTGTCCACTCAGCTTGGCTGCGAGCCCCCACTGCTCCCCGCCAGGTCAGCCAGGAGTGGGCCCTCTGTTCACAGCCAGGATGGGGGTGGGGGGGAAGGAAGGCTACCCGGGTGCCCAGGTGCAGCTGACGAGCGGCCCCCCTGCAGGCCTGGCCTGTATCGGGGTGAGCCTTGGCCGGAGTCCCACAGGGCAGGACAGCGTTGGGCCTGCGCAGAGGAGGCCTCACTGAGTTCTGAGGCCTGGAGGGGGAGAATGTGGGTGCCCGCCCCCCCCCCCCGAAGGCCCTCGAGAAGCCCCCATGATGGGAAGGTGCCCTGGGCCATTGTAAGCTAGATGGGACAACACCCACCTGCGGAACTGTCGGGAAAATGGGGGCCGTGCCCATTAGTGGGGACAGGAACGTTAAGGGCTTTGAGCCCATGCTGCTGTCCCGGCCGTGGCGTCCATGCTGCTCTGCACCCCACAGCTCTGAGGGAACCTTGGGTCTCAGGGCTACGTCCCTCTGAGAAAAGGGTTCTCCGTGCAGGACAAGTTTCTGGGTGTTTCTGCCAGTGCCAGAAGCTAGCAGCTGGGGGCAGTGGGCAGCCTCCCCCGGGGAAGGCGTGTGTTTGCAGTCCGGACAGTGGGGAATGGTCTGATGAGCGAAGGTGGTTTGGTCAAAATCTTCCCAGAGCCTGTCCATAGCGGCCAGCCTTTGCTCAGCCCCGCTGCCTGCCCTCCTCCCCTCAGCCCTGTATTAGTTCCTGGGGCTGGTGTAACCAACGATCACAAACTGGATGGCTTCAGAAACTTAATTGTCTCACAGCCCAAAACCAGTATCAGTGGGATGAGATCAAGGTGCCCGCAGGGCCGCGCTCCTCCCGCCACCCCTGCACCCCCCGCCAGGCTCTTGGGGAGCATCTGCTCCTGGCCAGCTTCTGCTGGCTGCAGCCTGCCTGGGCTCGGGGCCCATCGCTCCAGTCTCTGCCTCTGTGGTCATGTGTGCAACCTCACGTGTCACCCCCTCCCCTGGGTGTGTCCCCTCTCCCTCCCCCTCTTAGAAGGACACTTAGGGGGCATTTAGGGTGAACCCAGATAACCCAGGACAACCCCCCCCATGTTTAAGATCTTTATTTTAGTCAGATATGCAAAGATCCTTTTCCCAAATAAGGTCACGTTGGTAAGTTCCCGGGACAAGGACTGCAGTGGCCGTTATCCAGCCCATGACAGCACCTCCCACCAAGCCTTCACAGAGTGACAAAAATGGTTTTCCTAAACACGCTGCTTTAGAAACACATCAAGCACATCTCTGCGTTTAGGATCAACTTTAGCGAGGGTGCTGGGAGACCCCGAGTTCTCCTGCCCTGCTGACGTCCGGCCCTGACTGCAGCCCGCATGTCCTCCAGCGCACCTTGTCCTTCCTGGCCTCAGCTCTTGGCTGGACACTCTCCTCCACCCTGAACAGCCTGTCCTTGGAGACCTCAGGACAGAGCAGTGGCTGCTTCCCCTGCCTGTGAGGTGGAGAGACTCCCCTCCTCAGATGGAGAAACTGAGGCACACAGACGCAGTGGACTGCCATCCAGCCCTGGCTGGAACCCTAGCTTCCCAGTTCCCCTCCCATTCCCCTCCCAAGGCTTGGAGCCAGTGAGCCCCCTTACTGGCCTACAGACAGCAGGGGGCAGTCACTGCTTTGTCCGGCATCATCCAGACCAGAGCCCCACCCCTGGGCAGCACCCAGTGGACACCGGTGCCCTCGCTGGAGGCTGCACCCCGGGGGCCGGGGGGCTGGCCCAGGACGGGTGGCCTGAGCCAAGAGGAGACTCCAGCGTGGAGCTGGAGGGCCTGCTGGTGGGGGAGGGTGCTGGGCAGCCAGGGGGAGGGTGGGGGTGCTGGGGGGGTGCTGGGGTGGAGCACAGGCCTCCCGGCCCTCCCAGGTCAGCCACTTTAGCCGGAAGGCCGGGCGGAGCCTGCTCTGGGAATGTGGGAACCTCGACAGACAGACCGAGGGACCTCCTTCCCGGTGGGGCCTCCACTGCCCCCAGCTGCATCACTGGCCTCCCCCCCCCCCCCGGCCCCCCCCCCCCCCGAGCACAGGCTGGAGGTGCTCCTGGATCGGTGACACCCCCGCCTGCCTGGCCCACCCCGCGGGGAATGTGCACCGGGATTGTTTCGGGCTCTGGTGGGTTTGGCGGAGGCGTGGCCTCTGGTCGGGAAGGAGCTGCGACAGGCTGTGGGGCCTGGAGTGGCAGGCCCGGGGACAGCAGCCCTAAGCATCCAGCCCGCACGTCTCTGCCTGTGGCCTCGGGCATGTGCCCGTCCTGCTCTCAGCCTCTGGAAGATGGGGGTGTTTACAGATCCGGGCTCCTGGGAGGGACGGGTGGACAGCCAGCATGTCGGGGCCCCCGGAGGGCCGCACCCCTCACCTGTGACTGGGGTGAGAGGATCCAGTCGGGCACTGCGGAGCGAGCCCATCCTTGGGGCACCTGAACCTCATAGCGAGAGCCATGAATAAGAGGATGACTGTCCGCCCCCCCCCGCCCCCCCGCAGTTGCCAGAGCGCCTTCTCCTCTAGCTCTGGGAGTTCATTCCATACTGCCGGGAGGAAGCCGGGCTCAGGCTCAGAGATGGGAAGGGACTTGTCCTGGATCCCACACTATTAAAAAAGAAAGTGGAGAGCCCAGATCAGGCCCCTCTGCCCACCACTCCAGGATGGGGCCCTTCTTCCCCCTGGGAGGATGGAGGGGGTGTCACACTGCCCGCCCCCAGCTGCTGTCCCCTTTCTGGGATTTCCACCTGGGCTCCCACTGTGCCCCCAGCCCCACATCTCCCTCAAAGCCACAGGGGATCGTGATGGGAAAGCTTGGCATGCAGCCAAGGAGGGGTGGGGCACAGAGCACCTCAGGCCTGGGGGGCAGCCTGCTGGGCCTCTGTGGATGCTGCCCATGGCACCCAGCCTCACCTTTCCCCAGCAGAGGGCGGGGGCGTGGAAAGGTTCTGCGAAGGGCCGGGCCCTGGGGCAGGGGTTGGAGGGCTGCTGGTTTCTGAAGCCAGGAGAGAGCCCACGTTTCTGGTCTGAGGGATAGCCAGGCCAAGGACCTGCTCACCCCATGTCCTCCTGTCCTCCCAGCTGGTTCATGGGACGCCGGCCTGAGTACACAGACCCCAAGGTGGTGGCCCAGGGTGAAGGCCGAGAAGGTAAAACTTGATCCCCCTCAACCCCGCCCCCTCCCCACAGGCAAGCTGGAGCCCGGGAGGGCCTGGGTGGACCCCTAGGAAACAGGGTGGAAGCCGGGGACCTGCCATGCACAAGATGGACTATGGGAACACCCCAGGCCTCTCCCCTGAGCACTGCTCCCACCTGGGCCTGGCTGGAGCGTAGAGGGTCTGCCAGGTTTGTCGGTCCCTGGTGCAGCCCCCATACCTCCCTGGGGGGGCATGGGCCAGCTGGCCATTCCCATTTTACAGGAGAGACTGCTGGGGATGAGACACCCCAGAGCAGCCTGGCTGATGCTGCCTTCTCTCCCCAGTGACCCGCGTGCGCTCACAGGGCTTTGTCACTCTCCTCTTCAACGTGGTGACCAAGGACATGAGGAAGCTGGGCTACGATACTGGGCCTCCTGACACACAGGGCGCCACGGGGCCCAGCCCGCCCCAGGGCATCCCCCGGTGAAGGCCCCCACTGGGCCACGGCCACAGCCACTGAATTTGGCCATGCCGCCTCCAGAGAACGCAGGGCTGTCCTTCTGGAGAGCTGGCCAGGGATCCAGCTGCTTGATGTGCAGCCTCGGGGGGGCTAGGAGGGTGGGGGTAGATTTTTATATAATAAAGCATCACCTTTCCCCAGAGCCCAGGCCCGGAGCTGCCTCCTCTCCCTTCAGCCCTGCCCCCCACTCCTTGGGAGCAGGTCACTGGGGCCGGCCTGCCTGCCTCCCTGAGCTGGACCAGGACCTGTCCCCCGCCCCGTACTGCTTAGGGCACAGAAGCTGCCCGGAGAAGCACACGAGACAGCCACCTGGGTTGTGAGCTCTGGTTCAGGCCCGCTTGGTCTGTGCGACCCTCCCCACACTCCTCTCTAACACAGGAGGGAGATGACAAGGTTTTGGGGCTCAGGAGCACTTGGCCCTTGTGCGAGGAGAAGAGAATCAGATCGATGGTAGCTGCAGGGAGAGGCCCCCCCCACCCCGCAGCCCAGACACCAGGGCTGAAATCCTCCCAGAAGCAGGAAGCTGCTGGAATCCCAGCTCTCTGGGCTCACGGCAGGAGAGGAGAGTGGGCCCCTGCACCCAGCACTCAGCACACGGGTAGTGGAGCCGTCCACACACAGGTCCCCGCAGCACTGCTGTGGCAGTCACCCTCCCAGCCTGTCCCCCCCCCCCCCCCCCCCCCCCCCC